TGTACACTATATAATGGGGGGCTCGGCCTCTTCAGTTAATTTCTTTTTTTAACCCCTTCGTGACGGGAGACGTACACTGTGCGTCCCGTCACAAAGTGCCTATATGACTGGCCACGTACACTGTACGTGACGAGTTATATCAGGCTTTGTAATGCCGGTAACTGCTGATTCTCAGCAGTTACCAGTTATTAATGAATGCCTCAGTATTGAGGCATTCATTAATAAAATAGTTAAGCTTTTCTAAAAGCTTCATTCTTTCATTAATGAAAGAATGAAGCCGTTACATGCAAATACGGGACCGTTAAATAGCGATCCCGTATTTGACAGCTGCAAATAGCAGAGAGGTAGCAGAGTGAGTCACCTCTCTGCTATTCGTTTTGACAGCTCGATAGCCCGATGTTTATGATACATTTCACCAAAGAGATACAATGTATCTCTTTGAGTGAAATGTATCAGACTTCTGATCGTCTGGGCTGATCAAAGACCTTTTAGTGAGATCTGAATCTGACATGCTGTCAGGATCAGTCTCTAAGGTTATTATTAGCTGTTCCTAAGTTTGGAGCAGCCTAATAATAGCCAAAAATTAAAACAAAAGTTATTTTTTCAAGCAGTCATGGTGACTACTTGATATAAACTGACAAAAAAAAAGTATTTTTTTTTACTTTTTTTTTTACAAAGTGTAAAAAAAAAAAAATAAAGTGTAAAACAAAATTAGGAAAATAAAAAGGATATATAAATATATTTTTTTATACTATAATTATTATAACAAATTTCTAAAAAAAATAATAATAATAATCAAAACTTGTGGAAAAAAAGTGTTTTCTTCTAGTTTTTTTCCTAATTTTTTTAAAATATTTTATTCAAACTAAGTGAGGCGTTAAGTACACATGTGTGATATAATTATATAGCCCTATCTGTCCTCTAAAAAACAATATATAATATGAGTGGGTACGTTTAGTAAGAAAGTATATTACTGCTGTGGAAGAATCACACAGCAAAAATGTAAAAAGTGTGTCAGTCATTTATGAACAGAAACTGAAAATTAGCTCAGTCATGAAGGGGTTAATTCACATTTAATAATTGAATATTGATATTTACAACCTTTTTTTACAATTCATGTTACCATGTATAGTTAGTCCTTGCTTTCATTGTCAACCCGTGATGAATACGCTCATTTATTTCAGTGTCCTTCCACAGATCATTTTTTGGTAGTTTCGATGGCCTTATTATTACTCTTGGGTCTTTCCCATTTGGTTCATTCATATTGTGTTCAGTATAATAGTTAGACATATTAGAAAATCTGTATTCTTTCGGATATTCGAAATAGCCTCTTTTCTGAATGGCAGAGCCATTTTGGGAGGGGGAAGGGGGGTGGGGGCTTTGATCGCAACGCTCGGAGCCAGTCTGATTGCCTGTGATCCGCAGCACTGAGATGTAATGAGACATCTCAATGTGAAAACATGTTATTTAAATAAATGATGGCAACACAGAGTGAATGTCACTCACTTAGGGTTCGCATTTATTTTAACAGAGGTTGGCTACAGAATACCAAATTTTCTGTGCGCCTTCTCTCCAGCTGCTCGGGGATTCTTATTACCGCTCCACCGGTAACAGGAATGGCAGATATCTACTGTGTATGAACGTCTCACATTTCCAAGCTCGTGCTATTGGGTGTCAATATCCTATTATCACTTCTTCTATTGTTTCTTCAAAGTGTTGTATGGTGTTATCTCCGACCATTCTTTCCTACTCTGGTTTATCTATTTCTAGGGCTCCTACCTGACCATTTTTATTTTCAAAATCTTTATGTATCTTACACGGAGAAAACAAACATCTCAGTTACAAAATAGAATGTGAATTTAGCCTACTGTACATCGTGTTGGTGTGTACATAGGAAGAGGCATACAAGTTCCTTGTATGCCACAGACCAGTTTGTGGAATATTTGTATCAATCTCCATTGGTGTCTGATTGATCCTCTTCAGTAAAAGTATTCAAGTGACATGAGCACCTGGTGAATTAAGGGGGAGGAGGGTAAAGAAAGAAGTAGAAAACAAAAGAAAAAAAGTTGGAGGGAGGGGGATGGATTGGGGAGAAAAAGTAAAGTACGGTGTGGTGGGAGGGAAGGAGCAAGTTTTAAGAGTCTCCTGGATAGTAGTCTTTCCCTTCAGGTGTTGGAAATCCAGTTGTGTCACGGTTTCCTGTAGGCTTCTGATTGGAGTTTTGGAGCAAGCGTAAGGTCTCACATATATTAGCCTTTCCCTTCATCGAAGTAGGTGTTGGAAATCCAGTGGTGTCAGGTCTCCCTGTAGGCTTCTGGTAGGCGTTTTGAAGCAAGAGTAAGGTCTCCCACATAGTAGCCTTTCCCTTCATCTTAGTAGGTAATGGAAATCTAGTGCTGCCGGGTCTTCCTGTAGGCTTCTGATTGGAGTTTTGGAGCAAGAGTAAGGTCTCCTGAAGAGTAGTCTTTCCCTTTATCGCAGTAGGTGTTGCAAATGCAGTGGTGCAACGTCTTCCTGTAGGCTGCTCATTGTAGTTTTGGAGCAAGAGTAAGGTCTCACATATAGTAGCCTTTCCCTTCATCTTAGTAGGTGATGGAAATCAAGTGGTGCCGGGTCTTCCTGTAGGCTTCTGATTGTAATTTTGGAAGAGTAAGGCCCTCTGGATAGTAGTCTATCCCCTTCGTTGGAATAGGTGATGGAAATCCAGTGGTGCCAGGTCTTCCTGTAGGCCTCTCATCAAAGTTTTGGAGCAAGAGTAAAATCTTAAGATGAGTCTTAAGTCTTAGGTTTTGTTGAACCACATGAAGCTGCATTGAGAAGTTGTCACAGCACAGACAAATGTTTTTGATTTAGTATGACAATGCATGCATTCTCATTTTTTTGTCTTGATCCATTACTAAACAAGCTATTCTCTGTTTGGTATGAAAGCACGGTCTCATATATCTATTATGGGTGTGATAATAGTGTGTGAATTTGTTGGTTACTTCATGTCTTATCACTGATTGGTACCAGCAATCAATTACCTGACCATATCTTCACCGGTCTCGAGCCATTGGTTCTGCTGAGTGACCCAGAACCAAGCAGGCACCATTAGGCAGGAGATCAATCCACCATTACTCACAGCTCAAGGAACCTCTTGCAACCTCTGGAGGAACCTCATGGTTCATTCGATTCTTGGTTGGGTTAGAGAGTTATTGTCAAATTCAATGACCCATTTAATAACTACAAACGTTTCCTGGTAATGAAGAATTTAATTACCCGTGAAAATAAATAGGCTACATTTAAAATTGAGTTATTTTTAATTAAATTGATACATTTTAGACCAGTTGTTTATATATTAGAAACATCATTAAAACGCCCAAGTTCCAGTGTGCAGTAATTAATCTGTGAGTTATTATCAGAATCCCACGTGTCTTAGAGAACGTATCTCCTGTAGGCATAATCACTCGGTGACAGATGAAGCACTGCTACAAAATCTAGCAGATCTTGTTACTTTATAGCGAGGCTCGTTATGTGCAACACAGAGCAGGGGATCTTGCCCTCTGCCATTACATTGACCCTTCATGAAGAGTCAAATTGGCCATATGCCAGTAGAATGTAATCAGAACATTTTTTATTTTGCAACGTTCATTCTATTTTCTAATAATTAATTGGGTCAAATGGACAATTTGGGCGTGATTAAGATGATCGAAGGAGCAAGATGGAAAGTTTTTCTTGACGGAACAAAATTCTAACAGCGAATGTGGCTGTTTAGGGAAACTCCACTCATTCCAAAATCGATTGTTGAAATTAAACAAAAATTTTGAAGGACGTCCAAGTCTCTGATGGAATTGTCAAATGTTCTGACCAGATTTATCGTATGAACTTTCTACAAGTGTATGGCCAGCTTTGGTGGGCATTAGCACCTAAAGCGTTTTAAGGAAGTGTATGTGTTCATTCGTAGTCATTAGTGAAAGCTGAATTTATTACATGTACACTGCAATTGGCAATTCAGAATGCCTGTTGTTGGTGTAGTGAAGGAGCAGAGTGGGGATGTGCAAAATTGAGAAGTCTAATTTCCGTGCAGATCAAGAGATTTTGGCACAGTTGCATCAAGACATTGGAGTTACGGAGTCTTAAAAATACATTCAAGTCCCTTAATTATTAAAAGGAGAACTATGGTGTCAGGGCTTTTCCCCATAGTTCTCCTAAGGGTCACGGGAGAACACAAACTAGCGTTCTCCCGTCACCCTAAGCTCAGTATACCGCAAGCTACAGCTCGCAGTATACTGAGACGCTGCAGCCGGAACGGATCCCGACATTGCTGTCGAGATCCACCCAGCTGCGGGATTGACAGCTGGCTCTGCCTATCCAGAGGCAGAGCCAGCTGTGCCCGCCCCCTCTCCAGTTGGTTCCGCCAGTCAGCGCTGGAGGAAAAACAGGGGATAGTGACAGTCACGGCTCTCTGCAGGGATAGATCGAGAAGTGAGCGAGCGACGGTATGTGTTCGCTCACTTCCCGATCTACTGAGCCGACCTGTGACAGTCTCATTGTCACAGGTCTGAGTGAAAATCACTCACCTCATAATTCTCCTTTAACAAAAATGTATCTTATTTGTGTATCACTCGGCTGTAGATCCTCCAATCATCTCTGAATTGGTGCTGACACTGTCCTTCCTTCTGGAGGGGGGCTACGTTTTTCCCCCATGGTCCCTGTGTGTTTTGTAAAGTAGTCACCGCTCCAAGCTCGCTCCCGGGATGGACTGCAATCTCAATACAAATGAGTAAACTAAACGTGAGATTGCAGTCCATCCCGGGAGCAAATATAAAATATACAAATGAATGCAACTCTATAATCATTCGAACTTTGTTAAATTTATATTTAAATGCAAGCAGTATAAGTACCTGAATGTGACCGACCTGGTATCAGCCTCTTGCAATTCCCTAAATACTGTACACCCTCACAAGATTTTTAATTTAAATAATAATCATGTAAACCCTTCTCTCTCGCTCTCTCCCTAGGTCCGGTTTGTGAGCAGCACCTGGGTTTTCGGCAAACTCATGTGCCACGTGAGCCGGTTTGTCCAGTATAGCTCAGTCCACGTATCTGTCCTCACCCTAACTGCCATCGCTCTGGACAGACATCAGGTGAGGAACCCAGATCTGATCATTTAGGGTTTGGCTACATGTATGCCTCTGTATGCAGACTGCTCTTGGTAACGTCCACATCACGCCCTTTCATTGCTTAGCAAGCCGGTCAAATTATCCTCCTTCTCCTATTACCTCTGGTCCCTCCCTCTACCCCCTATCCCACCCTCTCTCCCCTTCCTCTCCCACCTCCCCCTTCCCTCCCATTACCTCTCCCTCTTTCCTTCTCTGTATTTTTTTTTCTTCTCCCTTTCCCTCTCTTTTCTCTACCCTTCACTCTTTTTCCTTCCTCGCCTGCACCCCTTTCCTTCTCCCTCTTCCCTTATCCTTTCCTCTTCCCTTTTTCTTTCCCTGTTTACCACCACCCATCCCCCCTCCAAAGCCTCCCACCACCCTCCTTCCTCTCTTCTCTCCCCAGTTCTCCGCTACCCCTCTCTCTCTCCCCTCCCACTTTTCCCTTCCTCTGCCGCACAACTTTCCCTCTCCCTCTTTCACTTCCCTTTCCTCGTTTACCACCACTCATCCCCCACCCCACCGTAGCCTCCCACTAAACTACTTCCTTTCTTCCCTCCTCCTATCCTACTCTACCCCTCTCTCCCCTTCCTCTTTTTCTTTCCTCTTTCTTTTCCCCTTCACTTCCCTTTATTTACCACCACTCATCTTCCCTCTTAGCCTCCTACCACCCACTTCACCCTTTCTCACTTTCCTAGCATCCTCTCCCCTTCCTCTCCTGTACCCCCGCACCTCCTCCCTCTTTCCTTCTCTTTGCTGTTTTCCTTCTTCCTTAGCACCCCCCACGCCCATCCCTCTTTCCCCTTCCTCCCTTTCTGGCAAATTGTGTTGCCATGCACATTTGGCTGGGCACCTTTGGGTAACAGGAAGGCCAAAGGCAACATTGGATGTTCAATACACATGGCGAACTAGGAGCACACCGTACACAATGGTTTGCGCTAGGGATGCAGCGTTACCGATACTAGTATCAATGCCGATGCAGAGTATTTGGGCGCGTACTTGTACACGCCCTTATACCCTGATGCCTGGCCCCATACCTGAGCTTCCAGTATCAGGAAGCCGGGCAGCGAGTCATTAGACACTGCCCGGCTTCCTGATTGGCCAGGCAGTCGGCTCCATGCTCCCTCGTGTCTTAGTCATGAGGTAGCATAGAGCCAGCTCTCCGGACAAATCATGAAGCTGGGCAGTGTGTAATGACGCGCCGCCTAGCTTCCTGATTGATCGAGAAGCCGGACAATCAAAAAGTCATTACACGCTGCCCAGCTTCCTGATTGGCCACAGTCATTACACAGCGCCAGGCTTCCTGATTGGCCAGGACAAGGAAGCATGGAGACGGCTTCCATGCTAATCTGGAAGCTGGGTGGCGATTCATTACACACCGCCTAGTTTCCTTAATGGGACTACCGGTATCGGTATTCGGTATCGGCGAGTACCGAAACTAAAATATTGGTACTTGTATTCAATACAGAAAAACCGGTATCGGTGCATCCCTAGTTTGCGCCCATTCAAACTGTACCCTCATGGTCTATATTTGATGTTGGCCCGCGGCTTCTACCTTCCCTCTGTTCCAGCGCTGCCCCTTTCACCAGATTCTATCACATTCCACACTTCCAGGAGTGACGGATGCCTGTCCTCCCCTCCTACTGGGGTTCCATCCTCCAACACCTACTTAACAAAATGACTGTTGTGTAGTGTTGAGTATAATATTCCTATTACAGGGACCTGCCATTAATATTTCTGTTTTTTGGCATTTGATGGTGTAGCTTTAACTCTCATCATTCTACTAAACCCTTTAATGTGATACTTCAAAATGTCTTTATGATTCCCACCCATCAAAATATTTTCTCATTATATTTCCTTTTTTTTTTTTTAGCTCTGTGATACATAAACATACAGTAGATCGATAAAATTTAACATATTCCAGCTCGTTATTATGTAAATTTCACATCTCCCGCACCCACTTGTGCTGCCAAATCTTACATAACCGTTTAGAGCAATTCTATTTTTATGTTTCCAGCTGTTTTCATTTCCTGTTTTATTTATTTATATATTTATTGTTACTTTCTCCATGTTGGAATATGAATCAGTATCAGTTCATTGCTTTCTATATACTTTATGTGATTTTAACTCTTGGGCTCCATTCACACTTGCTATAAAAAGTAATGACAGTTGACTGCACCTATGGCCATATGCGGCCATTTCTTTGTAATTGGACATGCTGTGATTACTTGCCGTTGATCGACCTGGATGCAAACTGTTTTTCTTATAAATCTCACAGAGAAATTTGTGAGACTCACCCAATTGGCCCCAATCGCAAGTGTGAATGGGGCTCACAAACTGAAGTTAATACTAATATAAATACATAATGTGTTCATAAATACAATAATTAAATGTACATTATATAGCCAAAGGTATGTGATCAACTGACCATCACACCTATCTACAGTATATGGCCAAAAATTATGTCAATCCCTATCAGTTGATTTGAGTTGAGGTGTCTCCAGTGAAGGTTCTGTTAATACTCCATCATACAATGACATTGTAGACAATTGTGCTCGTCCAAACTTGTGGTAACCATGACTGTCCCCTGTGTACAAAGCCAGCTCCATAAAGACATGGGGTCACAAGTTTGGTTCGGAGGTACTTCAGTGATCTCCACAAAGCCCTGACCTCAACCCTACTGAACATCATTGGAATGAATTAGAAAAGCAATCGAGAGCCAGGTCTTCTCATCAGTGGCGTTACAACCGGGGGGCAGCCGGTGCACTGGCCCCGGGTGTAAAGCTGAAGGGGGACGCCGGCTGAAAATTGCACTTTTGGCTAAATGCCGAAAGTGCAATTTTCCTGCCGTTTTGTCTGCGCAACCGTGATTTCTTTCCTCCCCGCTGGGCGCTGCTCTGTTTCCCAACGGGGAGGAGAGAAAGTGACAGCCGGCCGAGCACTGCGGGAGGAGACCGAGGTGAGCGGCCGGTGTCTCTCCTTCCACACCGCTCAGGCGCCTATCATAATCCGGCAGAGCGGTGTGGGGCGGAGACAGCCCACGATGTCACAGGAGGCTGGGCTCTCCTCCGTGCTCCGCTCGCTCAGCCTCCTGTGACAGCGTGTCAGAGAGGAGAGCAGGCTACAAACACTCAGCAATCAGTGATGGCTGAGTGTTTGTAGATAATTGAGGACATAGTATGGTTACTGTATCCTCAATTATGAATGAATGGGAGTGATCTACATCACCTCCTGTTCATTCATGATTGTGGTTATAGTAAACATACTATGTTATCAATGAACAGGACACTCATAAATGATTCCTATTCATTGATAACAGGGGATACAGAAAAAGAGACTGAGGACTCTGTGTTCTCAATCTCTTTATCGATTTTAAAAGGGAAATATCAGGGGTCTGTTTAGACCCCCAATATTTCCCCGAAGCCCCTAAAAGTAAAGTAAAAAAATATTTACTAAAAAATTAATAAAAATTAATTAAAACAAATTAAAAAGTTTATAAAATAAAAATAAAATATTTAAAAATGTGAAAAAATTAAAATAAAAACATGTGTGGGGGTGGGGGGTTCCAGTGGATGTTTACATAATGGGGGGGCGAAAACAATTCTGCCCCGGGCGCCCATTTTCTGCCCCGGGGCGCCCATGGTTACGCCACTGCTTCTCATCCAACATCAGTACCTGACCTCACAAATGGGCACAATTTCCCACAGACACACTCCAAAGTCTTGTGGAAAGAATTCCAAGAAGAGTGGAGCATGTTAGAGCAACAAAGGGGCCCTACTCCACATTAATGGCCATGGTTTTACAATAGGCTGTCCACAAAGCCAGCTCCATAAAGACATGATTTGACCAGGTTGGTGGGAGGAACTCGAGTGTCCTGCACAGAGCCCTGGCCTCAACCCTACTGAACACCTTTGGGATTAATTGGAAAGCCAATTGTACACCAGGTTTTTTCATCCAACATCAGTACCTGACCTCACAAATGAGACAAATCCCCACAGAAACCCTCTAAATTCGTGTGGAAAGCCTACCTAGAAGAGTGTAGGATGGTATAGCCAGAAAGGAGGACAATTAATGGCCATCAACTCCATATTATTGGCCACAAGGGGGAAACTCCATATTAAATGCCCATGGTTTTGGAATGTGATGCCCAACAAGCTCACATAGGTGTGGTGGTCAGGTGTCCACCAGCTTTTGACCATATAGTGTATGTAATGCATAGCAGTGGTTTTCCACACACTGATACATGTCTACAGCAGTGTATCACCTTCAGACTATAAATCTTTTTCTTGATGTTTCAGGTTATTATGCATCCTCTGAAACCTCGAATGTCAACAGTTAAAGGAATTATCTGCATCATCTTCATCTGGTTCATGGCCAGTGGATTCTCCTTACCTCATGCCATCTTCCAGAAGCTGGAGCGATTTTATATCGGGTAAATTAGCTGGCTCACCTTGTTTTCTTCCCTTACCTTAAAGTTGAAGTGTATTTTCCTCTTGTGCACACCCTGAGTTGATATTATAACATGAAAGTCATCGTTGGCACGGGTTTCAGATTAATCCTTGCTTACTGTTTCAGTGAAACCTCTACAAACTGACCTCTTAGACAGTTGTCACCAGAGCAGGTGTCCCCATTGGAAGATCAGACCCAACTCCGGTCTCCCCAGTGGAAATGGACAGGTGGTGTAATAACCTCACGAAAGGGCTCTAAACCAGGGGAGGTCAAACTCTGGCTCTCCAGCTGTGGTGCTACTACAAAGCCCATGAGGCATTGCAAGACCCCGTCAGCCACAGGTATGACTCCCAGAGGCAGAGACGTGATGGTATTTGTCTACCTCTGGTCTAACTTTTCTAATTTTTTTTAAGCTTTGGCTTTAGTTATACTTTAAGGTTCTCTATTGATTGTTCCATCAGATCTACTGCACAGCTAAGTGATGTCCCACTGCGACGTCTCTTCCCAGACACGAAGCTTCTTATACACAATGAATGCAGACATGTCTGACTCTTATGTGCAAATGATAGCAGAACATTTCCTGTGGATTTCAGAAACTTTAAACGCTGATAAAGACGCATTGACGGCATCCTTTCATGACAATATCGATGCGGGAAAGTAATTTGTACTTTCTTTTCTCATGATGAATTGCAATGCCTGTGCAGTTATGAAACAGAAAACTGCCCCCCTTCCTGTCTACATGCACTCCAGCGATGGCTGCATGACATTTCCCAGGGCAGGTTTCCTTATGGTGACCACAGGGGACCATGTCTGTGTAATGAGTGTTGTCTCCATTGGAAGAGCATGGGTGACAATGCAAACAGTTGTCACCCTATAACAGGAAGTGCCTGTACAAGGACCTTCATGGTGGGATCACCAGAGATTATTTTAATGAACGCCTCAGATGTAAAGTGATTGAAAATGACACCAACATGTTAAAGCTTCTACAAGATTTTAGCAATTGAATTTACATACCTGCAGACAGTGCGGATTTGATGGGTTTTAATTTTAGGCTCATGTTAATTGCAATTTACCTTTTGTTCTCTATCTCCGTTGAGTTCTCTGATTAGAAGCTTCCCCCGCTACCTCTGGATGAGTTTTGTCACTCGTGTTCTCGTTCTACAATTTGTATTTCCACCCTTTTCGAAAAAAAACTTGACTCCTTTGTTCTACACTGTCAAGGCCTCCAGATTTCTATCGTGAAAGGGATCTCTTCATTAGAACATCAGCAGAAATTCACCAGTCATCAATCTTCTTAAAGCTTCTCCTATAAAAGGCCTGTCAAGAAAATGCTTGAGGACCTTTGTCTTGCGTCAATGGCATCAACTGGCCATCGGTTTGAGGTCATTCACAATTCATTCGAGACCAAACCACGATGATTGCTAACACACCACAATTTATTGCCGTCCGGCTAACCCAAGACAGAAGCTGGAAGGAACCAGGTTCCTCTTTCTGGAGGCCAAACATAGAGTAGATAATGTAATGTAAGTCATCTGCTTCATTGGATTGATGGGTGACTTGAGGCACCACAACTCAATCCAATGGAGGCAATAGAAATGGGTAATGAACGTCTACCAAGCATCCTGATGACAAACATGGGAAATTCTTACTTCTTCAGAAGCCTTGGATATTATTATTTTATCCAGAGATGGATATAAATAGCCTCCGATACCTCTGATGAGGTTGGGGCCAGGGGTTTCCTGTACATGGGGAGGGTCAAGTGCCCATATTGGTCCCTAAATCACCATTCCTACACTAATTTTGAAGTCTTGCACAGTTGGATCCATCTTTTTGCCTTTTCATCCCTTCCTTTCCAACGTTTGACCACTTCACTTTATATTTCCGTAAAGGCTCACAATCTTTCTGTTGCCTTCTCTTTGCTTCCCTTCCATGATGACGTTGATCCCTTAAAATGTACAGATACGGACACCATCTGCAAGTCCCATGTTTAATATCATAGGTCACATAAAAGACGTAACACTGAGGAGGTGAAGGGGGGTTCCCTCTACATGGGGAAGGTTGGGTGGCCATACTGATCCCTAAATCAACATTCCTATGCTAATTTTGAAGTCTTGCACAATTGGATCCATCGTCATGCCTGGAAGTGTCAGATGCTGAAGGTTTTTTTTTAGGAATTGTAGATCTGCGACAGGTAAGTATTTACTCTTTTCTTGCTCTGGTTTAGACAATGTGTACCGGCCCATGCAGGGCAAAGTGACAGCACCTCGGAAAAGGCCATCTCAAGACTCCCTTATGTTCCCCTTACCTTGCCGACGCTGTAGGTGACCTGGGGGAACATTGATGTCACTCCCCTGGTCATGTTACAGTGATCAGGTCTAGGAAATAGACATAGGCCTGGGCACCATCGCAGGTTAGCAGGTCACATGCTCCCCTATACAAGAAAGTGGTGTTCTCACCAGCTGCAGAAGAGCAAGGGGCTGAAGGGGAGGGCAGGTAAGTGAGTATAAAGGGGTCAGAGGGGCCCTTTCTAGAGACACCGTCACTTTGTCCTGCATGGCCCAGGTGACAGCCTTCCTTTAATCAGTTGAACCCTAGAGCATGCTATGACATATTTTTGCTACCAAGACAACGCCAAAAAGACCCGCAGTTGCTGATTATTATAATAAACTCAAGAGCGGGGTGAGCGGGGGGCTGGGGAGAGAAGAATCTAAAAATGAGCTCATACAATTAAACCCTTGAGTGAGCATTAGACGTCCAGGAGGGTCCAGGTCAAGGGGCACTTCTCCATACCATCCAATCATTGGTCAAACATAAACCTTATTATTGTGAGTAATTACGTGCCAAATAATTAATTTGATATTTGAACAAGGACGCTCTTTGTGCAGAAATCAGGAAAACCCAACATGTCAGGAAATTACAGAACAATGCAAATGTTCTTTTGAAGGACAAAATTACACTTTTCAGCTGACACTGAAGCTTAAAGCTGGATGCAGTGCAATTATAAAAACACCAAATAAAATGAATGCAATTATGTATTAAAGAGACCCTGTCACCAGGCGGTTCATTTCACATAAGATTTTTTGAGTAATGAATGTATTTTATGCCTGTAAAAGCCCAAAGACTTCAGTTGAGTGCAGCCATCTTAGATGTGCTGTCAGAAGCTCCAGATTTAGAGCAGTCAAGTAACCTCCTCAAGTACTCAGGTGGTGTACGTCAGTACGTCACCTGGGGGGAAGCGGTGGTTTTGGCGGTGCACATTACATGGGGGGGGGGCAGTGCCCCGTACCTCTGTCCGGAGTCCTGTCCAGCTCGCTGGTTGCCAGAAGCTGCCAATCCTTTAAGTCCAATCAAATCCTATTTAAGCACTGATGAAGGGGTAGTGTTGTTGCCCCCCAAAAGCGTTGGCGCCCTTTATTTCAGAACATTGAGTCACTCCTGGCAGGGGCGTAACTGGAAATCACAAGGCCCCATAGCAAAATTTTGTATGGGGCCCCCGTGATTGCTAGTTATGCCACTTGCAGAGCCCACCTGATATACCAAACAGCCCACCTGAGAGTGACCCTGCAGACCCCACCATAGACTCTCTATAGTGGGCTCTGCAGGGTCTCAGATGTGCTGCACACCTCTTACCTGTCAGCGCTGTCCGCCTCCGTGGTCGCTGGGGTCCCGCCTCCTCTTCCGTCCCCGAGCCCCGCCTCCTCTTCTATCGACGGGCCCCGCCTCCTCTTACATCACTGGCCCCACCTGCTCTTAGGTCGCTGGCCAGTGATGTAAGAGGAGGCAGGGTTGCTCTTAGGTGGGCCCCGCCTCCTCCTTCACTGCGAACGCCGGCCTCTTATGCCGCAGCTGCTGGCTGTCACTGACACAGCTCCGCAGCGGCTGTTAGGGGAAACGCCGCTGCTGAGCTGTGTCAGTGACAGCCAGCACCGTTACATGCCATAGTGACCCAGGCGGCCCACACGGCATCAAAGGGATGCCCCGGCTGGGCCCCCCTGTGCCCGGGCTCCATAGCGGCAGCCTGGGTCACTATGGAGAATGTTACGCCTCGGACTCCTGGTTACCCAACAAGGGAGGCCGGCAGTGGTGGCCAGTGCCAGTAAGCTTTGTATAAAATTAATTGGCATTTTAGAACAAATTCTCTGTGCTGGATTATGGCCATCTATGGACTTATGCAGATTTTGACATTCAGTTGGTGGTTTTTCATGTTCATAATGCAAAAACCTCTCCTCTAGCCATCTGACTCGTCCTTTGACCTCCTCATTGGCTGCCTGTGATTGGCAGCCTGTTCCTGCCTCCCTGCTAGAGTCAAGATGCAAGAAGCATTAGAAAATTGCAAGGCTGCCAGAAAGACCGGGACAGACTTTGAAAGATATATGCATACAGTGGCTGGTTATACTGTCTGGTGAACTGGTTTTATTGAAGAGATCTCAGGAAAGGTTTGCACTTGGCATTGACCTCTGGCAGTCTACAGTACAGCAACACTCAGACTGGGAGAGTAAGGTGCAGTAAGATGCGCTGCCTACAGATCTGCTGGCAAGGAACATGCTTATAGAGGGCACAGAGAGCCGAGGCGCGGACTCATAAGCCTCCTGCTGCCCTCTGACTGGCCAGTCGGCAAACGTGGCTCTGAATTTGAAGTTTTGGTGAGTCAGTCACATTATAACAGGGCACTGTGGCTCCAGTAAGGATGCCTCTCAACACAACAGGGCACCCCATAAGGCAGGGAGCCCAGAGTTGAGGATCCCCATGTACAAAGTCCAATAAGGTTCAAGAGTCAAGATTCCTTCATGATCAGTATTGGTCCCCAATCAGGATAACACAAAACAGCCAAAGCGTTTTTGGGGGGGGGGGGCATTCCTCATGGCTCAAATGTTGTAAACGGTAGGACTGAGAAATGGCAAAAATAATTCTTAGTTGGAAGCTGCAAGATGCCAGGCAGTCTGTATCAGCGGAACGTAGGCTTGGGGTGTACAAAGGACACCACTGAACCTCTTAAATGTGGTGTGCTAGATGTGCTGGGTACATCTCAAGACTGAATGGACAGACATTAAAAATGGTGGCTGGGAATGTAACTTTCACGTATGTATCTCATCCGTGCGTTCAGCGCTTTGCTTGGAATTCAGCTTTCATTACATAATGCAGCTTCCTAATGCAAATAATAAAAAAGAGACACACTTTAGCGCGCATTTCTTCCAGAGTTTCTATGCGGTGATTCAGGCTCCCGGAGATGGCGGCTCCTGGCCTCACGTCGAGTATGAATCACTTTAGGAATAAATAACAAAATAGGGGCATGGTAGTTTCTATGACAACAAAATTTCCATTCCTTGAAGACTTTTTATAGACGTAATAAAACAAGAACACCGTTGACACGTGCCAATTTTCTTTATTACTCTTTATGTTTTTGAAGAGTCACTTTGGGTTTTCAATGCTGAAAAACTTTTTCTTTTCCTTCCCTGGAACGGCTTCTCCTTCAAATCGAGTTCACACGTCATTAATTATAACAAAACTACTGAAGGGAAGAGTTTTTGTTTGAGCTTTAAATGAACTAAAAGCACATGGAAAATGATGTAATGCCGGGGTGTAACTACAATTCATGGGGCCCTATAGCAATATTTTCAGGGTCCCCCCCGAGCGACCTCTCTTTGTGACCCCTGGCGATGTCCATTGAGACAGTGATGTAATCCTAACATAAAGTATGTCTAAATCAAGGACAGGAAGCCCTCCCCCCAACTTTTACCAGTCGACAAACTTCTTTAAACTGTGGGGGGCTTTTTTTTTACAGAATGACCAACTTCAAATGTCAACACTTATTACATAGTATTTGAGGTTGAATAAAGACATAAGTCCATCAGGTCCAACCTATTGCATGCATGTGTATGGTTCTGCTTATGTGTGCGTATGTATAGGTCCCTGTGTCATCTCATCTTAACAGATTTTCACCCTCGGGTTATTAGTTTTTCACCCTCAGTGCTGGCTGAGATGACCAGAAGCTTTGAGGGCAAGAAAATTACTCACAGATGGGAGGATGCAAAGTAGAACTATGACCAGGGACAGCATGATCCCAAAACATGATCCTGTGCATCTGATAACAGCTCTTCTGGAATGGAGACATCAGACAATTGTCCTAGTGGAGCTCCTATCCTACCCTAGGGCCCTCTGCTGCAGATGCTTAGGGATATTTCAGCCTCAGAAAGCCATTACGGTGTTAATATCTCAGTGCTGGCTGAGATGACCAGAAGCTTTGAAGGCAAGAAAATGACTCACAGATGGGAGAATGCAAAGGAGTTCTATGACTAGGGACAGCATGATCCCAAAACATGATCCTATGCATCAGATGTGGGCTCTTTCGGAACAAAGACATCAGACAACCTCCCTTGGTGAGCTTCCTTCCCACCCCTGGGCCCAATAGCCCCTGGCTCACATCTTGCTGGCCAGGAAGACAGGAACCTCTGAATTCACTAAATGTACTCATAGATGGGGGATGCAAAGGAGATCTATGACTAGGGACAGCATGATCCTATGCACCAGATGTGGGCTCTTTTGGAATAGGGATATCAGACAAGCTCCGTAGTTGAGCTTCCTTCCCACCCTTGGACCCAATAGCCCCCGGCTCACATCTTGCTGGTCAGGAAGACCAGAAGCTGTGAAGTCAATAAATCTACTCACAGACGGGGCAGGAAGAAGTTAAACGTGCTCCGTAGCTCTGGGCTATTTCTGTCCTTAGTGCATGCTTTGCACATGGTAATGTTTAATGGTGGGGACTCAATAGGCACCAGCTCGGGAAAATAATACGTTTTTACAAACAATTGGCTTAATTTGTTGGCAATAACAGGTTCTGGAATGTAATTAACCCCTGACGCTCATGCTAACAAATACAACGTGACTTAGATGTGGATTGTGCCAACCTTGGATAATTATACGTTCAATCTGTGCAGGAAATAGATCCTGATATAAGCTCCCATACTGCGTGTGTAGGACGGTCCAGCAGTTGCATACTTGTTTAAAGCTTAACTCCAAGTAGATATAAAAGACACACATGGATGGAAATGGATTATTTACTGTAATTAAATGCAACATGAAAGAACCCAAAATGGACCTTCCATCATCTTGTATCCACCTAGACAGAAGTAGGATGAGCTCAGGTTTGAACTGATCCCGGTCCGAATCTGAGTTCCTCTGAAACCGGAAGGAGCTCCGAATACAGAACGAAGCTCCTTCCGTGCTACCCAAGCAGCTTGACTTAAGCAAAGGGGAGGGATGCAGTGACATCGTTGACCTTATATAGCTACATGCCTATATTTGGTAAATGCCAATTACCTAATATGGCTTCATGGCTATTAGGTTTACCTCTATAGGTTGAACTTGCTGGACTTGCGTCTCTTTTCAATGTAAATGAACCATCCCTGTCCAGGGATGTCCCTAGGGTATTTGCCGCATGAGTCGGGGGGTGCCAATGCATGTTCCTTTGGGGAGGAAGTTTGGGGGCGGAGGTGACTCATTGAAGTCACTGGTTGCCAGGAGCTGGGCGGGACACTAGCCACAGCGATACACACTCAGCTCTGGCCAACTAGTGACGTCACAGTGTGTCTTGTTGATGCTCCTGGCAACCAGTGACATCATTGGTTGCCATGAGTCTGGTGGGACGCCGGCCAGAGAGTTACAGGTTGCTAAGAGCTAGCAACCCAGGACGCTCTGGCCGGAAAGGGGGTGCCAGGCACAACTGCCCCCCTCCCCGGTACTCAAGGAGATTTTGCCTGAGGCAACTGATGCTGGCTGCCTCATTATAAGGACAGCCCTGACACCATCACAGGCATTTATGTACTGTACATGCAGCTGTCAGCGGGGATGAGTAAAATCGACCAATTTCAGCAAAAAATTGTACATGAATAAATTGTTACATTTTTTGGTGGTTTTTAAAAGGTTATAAATAGTTGTCTAGGGTTGGGTTTTTTTTGCCTTTTTTAGGCATTTTATTGGTATTTGATGATTATTTTAAAACAAATGAAATAAGGAAGACACTGTACAGACATGTATATGTAAAAAAAATACTAATTATATATTAAT